TTTCCAAACTGTTTGCACATTGTTTAGTGCAAATATTGCGCCACTCGTGACGCTTTTTATATTCATTTGGCGCAAGTACAGAGTATCTTGAGTTAAGATGGTCTCTGGTTTACTGATATTTGTCACAGAATCTGCATTTTGGATCCACGCTATTACGTATGATATTTGCCTGAAAGGGCCTAGAGAAAAGTCTCTCTGCAATAATAAAAGATTCCGTTTCAGCCTTTAATTAAGATGCTTGTAACCATCGATGAGTGTTAACTTTATAAACATCGGTTTTATTAGCCTCGTTCTGGATATTGGCCATACAGAGGTTTGTCTTGCCAGCATTGTTTCATCTGTTCAAGAGCTTTATCCTTGGCTTTCTTTTTCCATATTTTTGCTGTAACAGTTGGTTCTTGGGTTCTGTTTTGGTTTTCTACAGAATATACTAAATGTCAATCTCGTTTGTATTTACAACCTTCTTTCACGATTGAATATTTTTTTCTTTCTATTTTTGTGTTGTTTGACTAATTGTATCATCCAGTCTTTTGTTATTTCCATGTATGTTAGTAAGCCAATAGCTGTCTTGTACGAATAGAATTATGATGTCTTCTGTTTTTGTAACCGGTGCTGGGTGATGTTCATACCAGTGTTTATTAACATCTTTTCCAAAGTATTTGCACATTGTCCAGTGTAAATATTGCCCCCACTCCATAGTGACGATTTTATATTCATTTGGCGCAAGTACAGAACATTCTAAGATTAGATGGTCTATGATTTCCTGATATTTGTCACAGAACCTGCATTTTGCGTCCATACTATTACATATGACATTTGCCTAAAGTTTCTAGTGAAAAGATTTTGGACATGTGCTGCAAGAATAAAGCTTTCCGTCTCAGCCTTTAATCCAGATGCTCATAACTATTGATGAGTGTTTACTTCAACATCGGCTTTATTAGCCTCGTTCTGGATATTGGCCACGAAGAGGATGCACTGGCCATGCTAACATTATTCCGTCTGTTCAAGAGTTTTACCCTTGACTTTCTTTTTCCATATTTTTCCTGCAACAGTTGGTTTTGGGGTTTTGTCTTAGTTTTCTACAGAATCTACTAAATCGAAATTTCGTTTGTATTTACAATCTTCTTTCATGATTGAATATTTTTCCTTTTTGTTTTCGTGTTGTTCGACTACTTGTATCATCCATTTTTTTGTTGTGTCCATGTATGTTAGTAAACCAATAGTTGTCTTGTATGACAATTCTAACTGAATAAGACCTCTTCCACATTCTTTACGGGGTCTGTATAGACGGTCGGCATCAGTCTTTGGATGGTGCATGTTATTCTTAGAAAGAAGCTTTCATGTCTTAGAATCCATTCGTCTGATACCATTTAGAGTTCATTCAAGATTTTGAAATTATATTGAACTATTGGGATGGAAAGGCTATCAATAGACATAATTCTGTTCTTGATATCATCAATTCGGTTCTTAATATCAGTCGCATTCTTCTATAGTATTCTTTTCGCATTATTTATTTCATTTTTATGGTGAATTCCTTCATTTTCATTTACACCGAGGTACTTATAAGCTTCTTCTTACCCTAAATCCTTGATTGTTACCCAAGGGTCTAGGCTAATAGAGAAGGTTTGTTGTAGTGATCCTCGTAAAATCGTAGCTTTAGCACATTTATCCAAACCGAATTCCATTCCATTGCCTTCACTGAAATATTTTACTGTTTTCAGTAGACATTCCAGCTTACTGTCATTCCAGCTCATTGTCATTCCTAGCATACAACATCACGTCATCCATGTAAAATATTATTATTATTGTGTTATAAAAGATTATTATTAAAATATAAAATATTATTATCATTATTAAAATATAAAAAATATTATTATTATTATTATTAAAATATAAAGTTATTATAAAATATTATTATTATTAAAATATAAAGTATAATAATAATAATAATAATAATAATAATAATAATAAAATTGTTCTGACAAGTACAGCCCACACCTTACGAAGGGCTTTATTATGTAATTTAATTCTTTTTTTTTTTTTTTTTTTTTCATTGGAAAGTGTCATGACGCTATTTCTAACCTTAGGTCCCTGGCGGGGACCCGGAAAGAAATGTAAACGCCAGAAATCAAAGAAAATAATAATAATAATAATAATAATAATAATTATTATTATTATTATTATTATTATTATTATTATTAATAATTTATTTGTGCTTCTGTTGTATGCACATTTCCTTCTGGATTTGGCTTCAGTGACAGCGCATGGGTTGGAGGATTTGAGGTTCCACTAGGACGGAATTGTTCATCTTAAAATACGTCAACCTCAGTTAAATCATATAATATAGGAAGCGGCTTCCATTATTATTATTATTATTATTATTATTATTATTATTATTATTATTATTTCCTTGGGTTTCTGTTGTATACACATTTCCTTCCGGGTCCCAACCAGAGACCTAAGGTCAGAAATGGCTACATAGCATCTTCCACTGATCATCTTTGTAAAAAAAAAGAAAACAAATCAAAAAGCACACATATTTTACATAGATAAAGCACTTCGAGAGCTGTACTTGTCAGTACAATTTTTTGTATTATTATTATTATTATTGTCATCATCATCATCATTCGATTTCTGCTATGGACACACTACCTACCAAGTCTGCGGAAAGACCTAAAGGCAGGTCGTGTGTGTTGTTATGGCCACATTTCATGTTAATTTTTTTTTTTTTTTTTTTTTTTATCTCCGATGAAGTTGCTAGCGTTACATAGACAAAGTTCTCCTTAGTGTGTGTGCTGTACTTAATAAGACAATTTTCTGTATGTCTCTTAAGGGGGTTTTCAGGGATTCTTTCAATGTGTTGTTTTGTTCCATTTTTATAATTCCAAGTGCACCTATTACCACTGGTATTATTCTTGTTTTCAATTTCCACATTTTTTCTATTTCAATTTCCAGGTCTTTGTATTTTGATAGTTTTTCAAATTCCTTGGTTGCTATGTTACAATCCGCTGGACAAGCCATATCAATTAGTAGGCAAGTTTTTTTTTCTGGTTTTTGACAATAATGTCCGGCCTATTTGCTTCAATTTTTCTGTCTGTGTGGATGGTATAATCCCACAGAATGGTGACATCTTCTATTTCTGTAACCGGCGCTGGCCGATGTTCATACCAGTGTTTGCTTACACATTTTCCAAAGTGTTTGCACATTGTCCAGTGTAAGTATTGCCCCACTCTATCGTGACGATTTTTATATTCATTATTATTTATTTATTATTTATATTCATTATTATTATTATTATTATTATTATTATTATTATTATTATTCTCATGTTATTTGAATCAAATTTGAACAGTTAAAAAACAAGTTGCTGCCTGCCGCATGTTTGCCCGTTTTAATGTTTGTAAAATCTTTACGCTCAAAAGCAGAGGACTTTAGCTCGTGTTAGATGAACACAACAGGAAGACAGGCTGCTAAATCGGGATGAGGCACAGTGTGTGGTGGTGGTGGGGGGGAATGTGGGAGAGAGATTGGGGTGGGGGAGAGAAACAGACACACCTACCTGTCGTTCCTAACAAGGCTGAAATTCAAGAGAAGGATTATTGAATATTGTTTGCCAAAGGAAGTGATGACTATTTTTGAATTGCAAGTTTGAAGAAAAGCGAAGAAAAGGAAAAAAAAAAAAATGAAGTGGGAAAAAATGTATTGAAGAGAAAAGATTTATCAAGTTAAGTGAATGTGTAGATCCGATTAGAATTGTGAGTTGATTGAATGAACGAGATTCAGGAGGCGGGTGGATTTGATGTTTGAATATATCATAGGGAGAAAGAGATATGAAGAAGAAGAAGAAGAAAGTCAGCAGGGAAAGAAAGAAAGAAAGAAAGAAATAGAAAGTGTGTTACAAATCTTTATTGAAAGAAAAGAAAAGAGTAAGTAAGAAAGAAAAACAAAGAAAAACTGTTAGAAAACAGCATTAAAAGAAAGAAAAAACGCCTAAGTGACACGTTTCTATTCGTAAAAGAACTTCTTCAGAAGAAATTCAGTAGTTGAGTTGGGTGGTTGGTTGTTTTTTGTTTAGCGTCATATATCAACCTCTATGAGCTATTTAATTCCGAAATCCAAATATTTTGTACGTAATTTTTTTTAAGCATTTCACCCCAAGCAAGGCGGGATGTCACTAGTACGCAAAGTGTTACAGGGAGCGAGAGTAAAGAGGCCTTATAGAGGAAAGGATGAAGAGAAACAAACGGAATAGATTGATTGACATTACCTTTGAATAGTTGAAGATTATAGCTATCAGGGAAGCAAGTAATAGGAAGGGAGTTCCACAGAGGGGAGTTGCGAGACATGAAGCTATTAGAGTAGAAAAGACGGCTGCATTTAACCGTTTCGACAGTGAAAGGATGGGACCGTGATGGCAACCCAGCGGAACGCTTAAATTCATGCAGTCTGGGGACTAGCGAAAGTAGATCGTCGGAGCAGTTACCGTGAAAGTATTTGTAGAAAAGACAGAGGGAAGCGACGGCACGTCTGTGAGAGAGCGACTGTAGACGAGATGCCAGATCAGAACCAATCACATTGCATATCCGTCTCTGGATTTTGTCGAGGACCTTAAAGCGAACAGTGGGAGCACTAGACCATATATGGCAGCAGTATTCCATGCAAAGGCGAATGGTTGATTTATAGATTTAAAGGATGGACTCGGGCGAGAAAAACTTTTTGGCACGACACAGAACCAACTTACCTTGCGGCGGATGAAGCAATTGATTCAATGTAATTGTTCCATCTTAGGTCAGCGGAAAGTGTGAGTTGGGGATAATAATGCTTTTTAAGGGATACAAGTCTTACTAATTAACCCATAGCTTGGGGAGAAGAGGTGGATTCATACCTCTCCCAACGGTATTTGTGCGTAAGTGAATATAACGAGCCCAACTGGAAATCGAACCCGGCTCTCCGATTAACAATTCCGAGCCATTATCTATTACACAATCCGGACATCCTAGCTGACAGCACCTGATATTCCCAAGCGGTCACCCATCTAGGTACTGACCAGGCTCGACGTTGCTTAACATCAGTGATCATACGGGAAACGGTGTTACAACGCGAAGTGGCCGTAAGCCGAAATTCATCAGTGCAAGAAAAAGAAAGATAGAAAGAAAATGTGTGCTAGAAAACTGTATTAAAAGAAAGAAAGAAAAAAAGGAAGAAAAATGAAAGAATAAAAGAAAGAAAGAAAAAGAAAGAAAAGTAAACGTGTCACAAGACTACATTAAAAGAAAGAAAAAAGAAAGAAAAAAGAAGTAAGAAAAATAAAGAAAGAAAAAAGAAAAAAGAAAGAAAAAAGAAAAAAAGAAGGAACGAAAAGGAAAGAAAAAAGAAAGAAAGATAAACGAAAGAAAGATAAACGGAAGAAAGAAAAAAGAAAGGAAAAGAAAGAAAGAAAAAAGAAAGAGAAAGAAAAAGGAAGCGTGTTAGAAGACTATATTAAAAGAAAGAAAGAAAAATGAAATAAAAAAAGGAAGACAAAGAAAACGTGTTAGATGAATACATGAAAAGAAAGAAAAAAGAAAAAGAAAAACAAAGAAAGAAAGAAAAAGGAAAAAAAAGAAACAAGGAAAGAAAGAAGAAAGAAAACGTGTAAGAAGACTATATTAAAAGGGAGAAGAAAGAATGAAAAAAGTTAAAAAAAACTGTATTAAAAGAAAGAAAGAAGAAGAAAGAAAAACGAAAAAGAAAGAAAAAAGAAAAGGAAAAGAAAGAAAAATGAAAGAAGAAAGAAAGAAAAAGAAAGAAAAAGAAAAAACATAGAAGAAAGAAAAAAAAAGTAAAAAGAAAGAAAAAAGAAAGAAAAAAGAAAGAAAAAGAAAAAAGAAAGAAAGAAAGAAAGAAAAAGAAAAAGGTAGTGTGTTACAAGATTATATTAAAAGAAGGATGGAAAAAGAAAGAAAAAAGAAAAAGAAAGAAAAAAGAAAGAAAAAGAAAAGAAAGAAAGAAAGAAAGAAAAAGAAAAAAGAAAGAGAGAAAGAAAGAAAGAAAAAGGAAAAGGTAGCGTGTTAGAAGATTATATTAAAAGAAGGATGGAAAAAAGAAAGAAAAAAGAAAAAAGAAAGAAAAAAGAAAGAAAAAGAAAAAAGAAAGAAAGAAAGAAAAAGAAAACGGTAGCGTGTTAGAAGATTATATTAAAAGAATGATGGACAGAAAAAAGGAAATAATATTAGAAAAATGTATTAAAAAAGAAAGAACGATAGTAATAAAGAAAGAAAAGAAGAAAGAAAAAAGAAAGAAGGCAAGCAGAAAGAAAGAAAAGCTGCCTGTAAGTAAGGAAGATGAGGAAAAAGAGAACGTAGAAAGAAAGGAAGAAGGGGTGAAAAATCTGAAAAAGAAAAAAAATGAAGGAAAGATGGAAATTGTAGAGTGTAGGAAGAAGGAGGAAGAAGAAGAACATAGAAGTCAAGAAAGAAGGGAAGAGCCATTTTTGAAAAAGAAAAACGAGAAAGAAAGAAATAAAAAAACGAAATAAATAAATAGATAAACAAAGAACTTATTGTAGGAGAAAAACTAAAGAAAAGAACTTCTAAGTGACGCATTTCGATCCGTAGAAGAACTTCTTCAGTCTAATAGCAGATTTATTGACGAGATCAGTCTTTATATTTAAATGGGATGAACTGGGGAAGAAAATACGACAAAATGTCAATTATATTGTACATCGTAATCTTAAAGATGCTGGGAAAGTAAGATCTAAATTTAAATTTTGATGTCCGATATATGGAGATGTTTAACATAATCTACGTCATTCAGCTTACTGACGCTTTTGAGTTAATATTAGGTTGGTGCAAAAATAATGACGTAAGAATGTCGTTTTTTGACGTTAAAAAATACGTCAAAAAACGACATTATTACGTCATTATTTTTGCACCAACCTAATATTTGTTTTTTTTTATCGCTAATGTTTTTAATTATCGCACATTGCATCGCCAGAAATTAGAAGAGAACAGAAGAAAAATATATATACTCTACAGACAAAAAGTATGCGGCCATCCAAAGTTTCTTCAAAACACATTTTAAAATGAGATTTTGTTTTTTGTGTTTTTTTAAGTAAAAGATAAAATTTCAATATCTACAGCGTGATTGCTTTTATTTTTCAGTCTTTCTCAAGGTTCCTCTTACTACCAAATGTCCAAGTTTAGATTTGTGTGTCTACATTAAATTCTATTAAATTATGAATATTTTGTATGAGAAGCATTATATTTTGATTTCACCATTAACCCCTTAGTAGACATTTTGTGATTATCAAAACGACTGAAGATTTAGTTCAAGGGAATCACGAAAAAAGCACAACATCATTCAGTTTTGCAAAGATATACAATTCCATCTGATTTACGCATAATTGGAAAAAAAATCACCTTTCAACAAGACAGTTATGTGCCATGCAGGATACACGCTTAGGCGATCATGTATCTTTCGATACATGACTGACAAGGGAGTTTTTTTTTTCCCCGCACTTGGTTGCCAATTCTTTCTGCCGTAGACATTTGCTATCTAAAGCTAAAGAATCCGGTCTGTCCTGCTATTTACCCATAGCTGGAGGGTTGAAGAAGAGGATTCATACCTTTCCAGACGTAAGTGAATGTAATGGATTCGAACTCGGCTCTCCAAATCCTCAATCCGAGCCGCTATCCATTACTCCACCGTGCCTAACGATCCATAATATTTTTTTAAAAAAAAAAAAGAAGAAAAAAAAAGATTCCCCTCTACAAGACTTAACCGGGTATTGAACTCACACTCTTTGGGTCCTATCACTGGATCTAACCAACGCCTTTACCCACTGTGCCATGTGTTCTTGAGGCACGGTGGATAAAGGCGTTCGTTAGATCCAGTGACAGGAGCGAAAGCGTGTGAGTTCAATACCCGGGTAAGGCAATGGAGAACTTTCAGAGGGAAATTAACAGGAGATAACTGATAACTGACATCCATTAAACATGGCACGTGGAACTAGAACAGTCTACCCCAGTGAGCGAAATAAAGGGTTCAGTTCGACACCTGAAGAAGGCTGGAGCGTACAACATCCGAAACGTTGTAATAAATATGTAGGCGGAAACGGTATAAGTATAGATTGGAAGTAGACGTTGGAAGGAACCGGAAACCCAATCCTAAACCGGAAACAAGTGATAAACTTCTACTCTTGTTCAAAAGACAGGGAAGTGTTTGAACCGGACGGTATGGGAAAACCTATCTACTCCTATTAAGGTAAAAAATATATATATATATATATATCCTATTAAGGTAAAAATGATATATATATATCCTATTAAGGTGAAAATGATATATATATATATATATATATATATATTTTATTTAATAGGAGTAGATAGGTTTTCCCATCTCTCTCTCTCTCTCTCTCTCTATATATATATATATATATATATATATATATATATATATATATATATATATATATATATATATAGATATAGTAAATCAAATTTCAGAATTTAAGCGGAAATGTTATAAGTAGAGACTTGAAGTAGACTTTAGAAGGAACGGAAACTCAAATCTTATACAAGTGATAAGCCTCTACTCCTATTCAAAATTATGTGGAGGAGTGTGAACCGGGCGACAGGCAAACCTACTACATGCTACTAAAAGTGAATGAATATATTTTTTCTATATGTACGATTATTGGTTTTAATTGTTTTTTTATATATCTGACTGATCTCCGGTTGCTATGTATGGCTAGAAACTTCAAGATTGGGACAGAAACTGCATCTGCTTGCACCAGGTACTCCCGTAATATAACGTAGATTGGACGAAAACTGATGTTATTGCGAAATATTGCTAGAACATCCTGGACTGGAGTTAATGATGACGGTAATCATTTGAACCGGTCGTTTTTCATGCAATGTGGTACAAGTTCGATCCCTGCCAGAGAGCACAGTTTCTTTTTTTAAGATTTCTCGAATGTGCAGGTTATTCGGAAAATAATTACCGTACTTTATAATTACTGCCTGATTATAAACATTATAAACATTATTACATTTCTTAATTACTGCGGATCGTCTGATTAGTCAAAAGGAGACTTAGGAAACCCGATGTGGCTTTTAACTAATTTGATAATATTTTAACAGCTTAAATATAAAAATCTATTATAATTAAGAAATAACAAATAATTGTATTAAAAATTCATTTTTCATCGAAAAAAGTTTTTGCTTTCAGAAAATATTATCCATATTCATAAAAACAACTAAAAGCAAATAAAAGCATTTGAAATTAAATAATATATTTGTTTTATTGAGTTTTGTATGTTACAATTCAGAGCTGATTTTCAGGTAGTGGGGTCCAATTAAAAACAAAAAAAACATGATTTGCATTCCTCAAAGCCTTGTGCTTTTAACTATTGTAATCACTAAACCCGATGCGATCGAATTTCTAGCGTTTTCATAAAATTAGTTATTGGGGGTAATAAATATAAAAAATTATTCCTGACATGACTTTAATAAAAAAAAAAAAACTATATTTATAATAATTTCGATCATCTGTGAATAGTTCCTGAAAGTTTCATTAACCTCCGACAATTATTTTTATTTTTGCAAGATTTTCCAAATTAATGTGTGTCATACAAAAAAAAAAAGAAAATGCTAAAAATTGACTGTTATTTTACTAGTTCCGGTGATACAAAGAGAAACAAGTTTTTTTTTAATCAAAATTTAGAATGTTCTAAAAAGAAGGAAAAAATTTAAAAAAATAATTAAAAAACTTTGGTCTTTCCGCTTAATAATAACATGAACATTTAGACGATAAAATTTTGTTTTCGTCAAGTTTGGCGTCTTTTTCATCATGCTATGCTCTTTTTTAGTGATCTCGTGGAGGTACCTATAGGTTTGTTGTCTCAAAGTTCTCTTCGATGATACCTTGTCCCAATCGACTTGTTTCATGTGATCTAGTACTGGCAGTTTGGATAACCTTAAGCTAAGCACGACATGTATAGAAACAACTCTATGATCAGAACCGGTAGAAGAGAAGGACGAGAACCTTCCATTCTCCTTAAAAGTCGAAACCTCTTGCGAATATTAACTGAATCAGTCCTACTGTATGGATCAGAAACTTGGACATTATCTG